GGCTGGGTTTCGTTCTGTTGGACGTGGGGGCACTAGGCGTTGGAACCAACTCAAAAGCATATATATATGTGTGTGTGTTCACATATGGAAGACTGGGCAATCTACTTCCATAGTGACATCACCTTGGAAACCCAGGAGGGGTCGCTATCAGTCAGATCCGACTCCACGACAATGAGTAAGATGTGTGTATGTGTATATGTGTGTGGATTCGTATGTGTGTAGGTATGTATATGTGTCTATTTATATATGTGTGTGTCTATAAATGCATACGTGTGTGTATGTGTATACATGTGTATGTGTGTACATACGTGTATGTATATATGTGTGTATATACATGACATTGTTATATCAGAAGGTTCCTTTTATCCCCAAGTCACTGAGTTTCCAGATGTAAATGCCACATCTGGTTACTACAACATCTTTGATAAAAACCCTGCAGACCCACATGCACAAATGGGCAGACACGTGCCCCTCAGGACAGACAGATGCCCCCTCAGGGTTTGATGGTTTGGTGTCATTTTGGAGGAAACAGCTGCAAGTCCCTGGCCACCTGCAGGGCCCCTCAGTCTCGGCGTCCCCGGCCCAGGCCCCTCGTTTGCAGTCCCTCCAGTCAGTGTCCTGCAGAGCTGGCCCGCGGCCCCTGCGCACGTGTCTGCGTTACTGCGCCCCTGACGTGGTGCTGTCCCATCTGAAACAGCTCAGCGGCTGAAACGCAGACCCCGCTTCAAAGCCGCCGACCTTCCAGACAGCCTGGCGGCTCACCTTGCAGACGGATTCCACTCGAGGGCAACCGCAGGAAACGGCCTCAGGGTCGGCCTTCCCGAGGATTTTCTTATTAAACACGCCCCTCCCCTGACCTCCAGGCACACAGTGGTGCGTGGGCCCCGCCTCAGTCCTGGGCCTGGTGGCTCGAGGCACCGCGGTGGCACCGGGACGCCAGGTCTTAGACCCGAGTTCCTTGCACTGTGGTCAGGCAGAGGTCCCGGCAGCACCAGCCTCCTGTCCCCCCTCCCTGGCGACTTGCCGCCGGCTGCCTCCGCTGATGACGTGTGGATGGCCTCCACTCTGCCAGTGAGCCCTCTGTCCCCACGGCTGTGCCCTCCCTGTTGTTTCCTGGGGTCCAGTGCAGTGACCCCGCGGCCACTCTCCCCACGACACGCTCGGCTCTCACCTGTGATGTTGAACCTGCTCCTCTGTCCCAGCCTTTGGAGGTTCCAGGACTGGCCTCCCCTCTGCCTTGTCCCACGTGGTCCCATTCTCCCCGGGTGCTAATGACCACCAGCTGACCATAGACACCCCCGAGCAGGCCCCATGTTACCTTTGACAAGCCCTGTTTATAGAAACCCTGGTCCCAGGACCCATGGCAGCCATTAGTGTTCTCAACTCACACACACACAAATGCACTGCCATGGAGTTGATCTGACTCACAGCGACCCCCCCTTGGGTTTCCGAGGCGGTATCGCTACGGAAGTAGATTGCCCAGTCTTTTTTCCGAGGAGTGGCTGGTGGATTTGAACCGCCAGCCTTCTGGTCAGCAGTCAAGTGCCTTAGGCACTGCGCCACCAGAGCTCCCAGTGACCGGAAATGCTGCCCGAGTCTGTGCCATCTTCACGGCACTGTGGCCGGGGCCTGGCTGGGACAGTGGGCCGTCTTCCCAGCGAGGACGGGAGTCACT